ACCTTTATTTACTTATTTATTTTCATGTGGTGCTGAGGAGCGAACCCAGGGCTCACACGTGCTAGCCAAGCGCTCTGCCACTGAGCCACAACCCCAGCCCGTGATCCAATTCTTAAAATAAATTGTTCTCAGTCTTTCTTCCTGTCTACACTCATACACACACACGTGTGCAGACACAATTGGTTCTGTCTCTCTGGAGAACCCCAACACAATCTCTGATGCGGTGCCACCTCCCCATGCCCGTGCCCCACTGTCCAGCAGAAATCTAGCCTTCAGACCTGCACGTTCTCCACCCTCCCGCGGAACATCTCCACCTTTGCCTGCGATCGAAACCCAGGTCAGTGTGGCAGAGCAGGAGGGAGGGGCTTCTCCTCTGGAGGCTTAGAACTCCTGTCTAGGTTTCTGTGTCCCAAGTGGGGGGCACTACCTCAAAATATGATTGACAGTGGGGGCTTTTTGGGAGTCAGCTGTGGGGCTGTTGGCCCTCTTTAAGGGGAGTCAGCTGTGTGGGTCCTCAGAGCTCCTGCCTACCCAGTGCCAATGTAGCTTCAAAATCCTTCTGGAGGCAATATCTTGAGCAGTCGGTATTTCTGATAAAAGTTGTCAGAAGAAAGAGGATCTCTTGAGTTACCTGAATTCCAAGGCCCCATGAGGACAAGCTAACTAGAGTCTAATCCAGGGGCTTAATACCTGGACAGCAGGTGCCAGGGCTGAGGAGACCATAGTCAGGGGTGTGATGGCTACTTACAGATGCTAACTTGACTGGACTAGGGGGTGCCCAGATAGCTGGTCAGGCATTATTTCTGGATACATCTGTGAGGGTGGTTCTGGAAGAGACTGGCACTTGAACCAGTGGACAGGGTAAAGAAGATCTGCCCTCACCCATTGCGGGCAGGCACTGTCTAATCAGCTGAGGGTCCTGAGGGAACAAAAAGGCAAACTCCCTTCCTATTTTTCAGAGCTGAAAAGCCCTCTTCTCTTGTCCTTCTGCCTTCTGCTTGAGGACACAGGAACAAGGCACCATCTCGGAAGCAAAGAGAGCCAGCTCTCACGACGCCAAACCTGCTGGCACCTTGATTTTGGAATTCCTCCATCTCCACACCTCTGAGGAAATACATTTCTAATCTTTCAGCTTTCCCAGTCTCAGGTACTTTGCTATAGCAGCACCCACGATGGTGACAGGGAGGTTGCTTCCCTACACCTCTTCGAACTTTACCATTCCTAGTCCAGAGCTTGCTCTTCCTCTCTCCATTTCCCACAGCCAGAAAACACACCCAAGAAATTAAAAGGAGAATCAGGGAAAGACGAGCTCCTTTAGAGGCAGGTGGGGAGGGAAGCCAAGGGGCCACAGATGGGAAACGTGGAAGACCACTGTCCTAAAGAGTAAGTCCACACCGATGTGCCAGGAAGCCTGGTCCATCGGAGCAGACGGCCCACCTGGCCCCCTGCAAGGCTGACAGGGCTCTGCCCTGAAAACTGTGAACGGCCCACGTTCTTTACAGTGGCCTGTTGTGGCCATTGGTCATGAAACGTGCAGCCCGGGCAGCTTGGTTCGGGGGCCATGGGCTGAGGCTGTGGGGGTGTTACCCAGCCTGCACCCAGCGCTTCCTGTGTGGGCTGCAGTGCTGGGCACCCTGTGGGGACTGTTCCAGGGCCACACAGCCCCGTGACGTGGGTCCTCACAGCACACGCATCTTACCAATGAGGACAGTGACCTCCCTGCCACAGAGAGTAAGAACAGGCTCCGGCCACTGCACGGGCTCCAGGGCACAGCAGGCCACCCACAAGGCAAGGGAGGGGTCTTCACGCGGTGGCAGTGGCTCACAGCAGGGACCACAGCAGCCTCGGCACACGGGAGTCGGGCAGAGAGCTCCGTGCCGCCTGGCTGCCATCTACCTGCTGCCCCGTGCGGAGGAGGGGAGGGCGGTGTGGACTGTGCAGCCGCAGGAAGGACGGACGGGGGGTTTCCAGAACTGCCCTCGGCTTGGGTGTCAGGGTGGGCAAAGGTGGCCCCAGCCAAGGCAGGAGGGGGTGTGGGGCTCCAGGCAGGTTCCGGGGGGTCACGGCCTCAGGCCCTGGGCAGCCCCATGCTGAGCTGAGCAAGGCAGGAAGAAAGAGTGGCCATGGGTCATGGGCCACCTGGGGACTCTCAAAAGCTTCTGGGAGGTTTTGTCCTATGTCACCCATCTCACCTGGGGACACAGTCCTATGTCACCTGGGGATCACCAGACACTGGGTAAGGGGCTGCCTTTCAGTGAATTGGCAGGATCTGGGAAACTGAGGGCGGCCAGGCTGAGGGACAGGGAGGGCAGCATGAAGGACTTGGCTCCCCAGGAAGTGACCCCTCCCAGCACTCCCCGTCCTAAACAGCAGGAGCTGGAAGTGCCGTCCAAGAACCGAGGCCCCGAGAGCCAGGACTGGCCCCTTGTTGGTCAGCTCGCCCTCCCAGGTGTCCTCTCTGCAGTGTCCAACAGCAGGAGACCACAATGGTCACTATCATCATGAACAACGGAAACAGCTGTCATCCATTAAGCACGGAGGCCGCGCCAGGCACGTGGGGCACCTGCTGGACACCGTGTCCAGCCCTCTGGGTGCTCCTCGTGGTGTGGATCAATATCATCTCAATTTTGCAGCTGTGGTCCCCAACTGACCTTGCCTCCCGGGGCCATTTGGCAGTATCTGGAGACATTTGGGGTTGTCACGTTCAGGGGCTACTGGCACCCAGTGGGTCAAGTTTTGGGATGCTGCTAAATGTCCTGTGCGGATCTGATGACGGGGTAGTCCCCACCAAGAATTCAGCCCTGAATGTCCACCGTGCCCAAAGGGGGAAATCCTGTCTTACGGATAAGGAAACCGAGGCCCCAGGCTACAGGGTTAGTGGGGGCAAGACGAGGTCCCAACCCCCAGCCCATCTGGCTCTCAGGCCTGTGTGTCTTCACCCCCCCAGGACCCGGGTCCCTCTCTCAAGGCTGCCACGACAGCTGGCCAGCTGTCCGTCCATCCTGGAGCAATTGAGCATGGAGTAGCAAAGGTATTACCCCACACCCTCAGCCACAAGGCCCACCCTGGGAATGTGTCCTAGCGTTAGAATTCAAAATCCAACCAAGCCTTCATTCACACGGATCTACACCCAAACCCTATTTACAGGATCCAAAGTTTGACACAATGAATGTTCGCCTATAAAAAGCTTGGCTCAGGGAAGCCCCGCGTAGCCTCGAGATTGAATAGTCCATCCGTGAGGTCATCAAAGATGCCCGCGCCTCTCTGCAACGGTCCCAGGAAGAACCTTCAAATTAAAATGGCTAAAGGCAAAAAGGAAAGTTCAGGATTGCGAACGCTGGGATCAGGATTATGGTTTAAAAGCTGTGCACAAAGTAAGTCGCGGGCAGGGAAAACCCAACGTGTTGACCAAAGCCTTCTCTGCCCGCGGGGATTAAGGGTGACATTCCCATCCCACTTTCTCTAGTCTCTGAACTTTGAGTTCTGCCGTGTGCTATTTATATTGTCAGAATCACAAGCTCAACGCCTGGTATTTACCCTCCACATCCAGGGTTAGGCAGAACACGCTGACTTTTCTGCCTCCCTCTTTCAAGAGCTCCCACTAAATAACATGAAACAAGAAAAATCCAAAGGGACGAGAGAAGAGGAGGGGCCCACATCATGGCCCCCCCACCTCTTCCCTCCCGCAGGAGCTGGGAAGCCTGGCTGCTGGGCACCCCCGCCCTGGGTGGGCTAGGA